ATTATAGATTCATAGGTGGGAGCTTAAGAGAAAGAGCCAGGCCATTTGAGTTAGGCACAGAGGTCAGCAACATGCTGTACAAGTAGCCATATGGTGGGGAGAGGAGCTTTAGAGAAAGTGAAAAGAAGTCAAAGTACCACGGGAAGATGCTTGGGCTCTGGCCAGCATCCAGAAGAAAGAGAAATGAAGAAAAAAGAAATCATGCCTTTCAGAGACAGGACTCTGTAACTGTGCAGATTGAACAGAACCTCATGGCAGCTCTATAGGGACTGCATTATGGGAAGGAATTCAGGGAAGGAAAATACATCATCTCACTAAAGGGATAATTATTCCTTTATCTCTTCAGCAAGGTCTAATGTGAGCCGCCTTCCTGAGGGGTGGTCTGTCAGCTAGGTGACTGACTTGCCTGACTGGATTAAAATTACTTATTTATTTGGAGACAGGATCTCACAATGTAGCCCTGGCTGTCCTGGAACTTCCTGTGTTGACTAGGCTTCAACTGTCAGAGATCCTCCTGCCTCTGCCTCCTGAGTTCTGGGAATAAAGGCGAGTGCCCCCATGCCTGACTTGGATTAAGTTTTAAGGGAGGAGACAAAGGTATGTTTCCTTTGAGAGGTAGATCCCATACTTATGGCTAGGAGGCAACAGCTTTCCCTTAATAGGCCTTCAATGCTACTGTAACAGTAAGACACATGTTCTAGGTCTTACAAAAATGGGGCAGTTATTTTCACTTTAGAGATTCCAATATAAAAGTCTTCTTAGTGGTGATGAAGGGTAACAGGGAACGTCGTTATTCAAACACAGCTGTGCATGCATCAAGGTCTGCTGTCGAGCCCTAGCTGTGCTTCTTTACATTCTCTCCTGCTTTCCTGAGTGCAGCACCTTCCCACCAGCTCCTTGCAGTCTTTATCACATCTATCACCCTCAGCTATTAAGCACCGCACCGCAACTTTGCGACTCTGTTGCTTAAACAGCAGGTTTTTTTTTTCCTTTACACTGTTATCACACTAAAAAATAGCAGTCAGCCTGAGGTAAATCAAGGCTTTAATTACTCAGTAGCTCTATTTACGATTCATAGTATTAGAAATCTTTTCAGGGAGAGACACTGGCAAACTCAAATTACCATTCTATATTTTTTTAACTCCATAGATTATTTTCTACCTTTTCAGTAATCTCTTATTTATTTCCTCGTGCTTCCTTACTCTGTAACTTTTGTTGCATTAGTAAGGGATGATTTTTCCAGAAATGAAAATCGTGACTCTCACAGATATAAAATTAAATACTTAAAAGCACATTTTGGAGATTTCATGGAATATATTATTAGTGAACAGATTGGTTAGCTGTTCAAACCAGTTCAAAGGAAAGACCAAGTAAGAGACAAACGTACACGTTAGAAATATTGAAATGATTGTGCACGGGAAACCACACTGGTTTCTTCCACTGTGGAGAAGGCAAGTCAATAGACCATCAATCAGGCAATCAGGTAGTAGTTGCATATGTACACACAAGAATCACTAATTCTGTGTAAGGAAACACTGCCACCTTTTCTAAGGAAATCAAACAAACTGGCAACTACAGACGGGACAGTAGAAGAAAGAAACAAATGAACCAACAACTGAGAATCTGGGTTTGAAAGATGGTCAAATGTAAATTTTCCTTGGAAGTAATAGATAGTAAATTGCTCTAGAGAGATTTAAAGTCTTATCTCCTGCCCACTCTTGAAGAGTAATTAAAACCTAAAGATTTGCAACTTTCCTCTGCAGAGATGTGTTATATTCTAGAGTTACTGTCTCTCTTGCTTTATGGAAAGGGAGGTGGTCCAGTCACTCCAGGGAAGCTCTGTGCCTCACAAGTCTGGACTCCTGTCTTCTGGTCCAATTCCAGCATGTGCAGCTGCATCTGGAACTCAGTGTATAAGGAAACTAGTGTGTGAGGACCTTCGGCTGCTAAAATTTCCTGTACAGAATGGTCCCTGATCCAGGGCTCAGTAGATAAAAGTGACAGGTAGATGTTAGATAGATGATAGATAGATAGATAGATAGATAGATAGATAGATAGATAGATAGATAGATGATAGATGATGGATAGATAGGTAGGTAAACTATGGATGGATAGATAGATGATGGATAGGTAGGTGGATGGATGGATGGATGGATGAATGGATGGATGGATGGATGGATAGATAGATGATGTAGGTAGGTAGATAGATGATAGACAGACATGATAGATGTAGGTAGGTATCAGTATATGAAGCAGGATAACTTGTTAGCTTTCAAGTACCATCCTAGACCTTCCACAGGTTCAGACTTAACATGCAGTTCTCTCAGTTGTCTAGATTCATGAAGCAACTCAAAATTAGTGAAAGTCTCAGAGCCGCCATTGAGCAGAATCAGAAGAACTGCCAGGTTGCACTCTAATATAGACTCCACACCATTTTTATTCAGTCATTTGCTTATTCATTGATTATTTCTTGTTTTTCCAGCACATGCTTTCTGCATGTATCATGCTGGGTGCTGGTGACATGTCAGAGAGATCAATAAAACCCATCAGATGTCACATTATAAACTGTGATGAGACCTTTGCACTTTATGGTTATTTCTAAGTAGTTGTGTGTAGAAACCTCAGCTAACACGATTATGTCTGAAAGAACAGGAAAGAGACTGTAGACTGACTGTTCCGGAAGGTTCCCATATAAACCTACACAGGAGATTCCGAGCCAGACTACAGGGGCCTCACTTCAATTGCTAAAAATCTGTGATGATTTCATAGTGAATGCTTTGCCTTAGAAATCTAGATGGTCTGACAAGCAGGACATCTTTTTAACTTCATACTTGGCAGCATCTTTTATTAGAAAATAAAATTGCTTACAGAGCCTCTCCTAAGACTGAAGGATTTCAGGATTTCCAAAAGGAAACATTTATACGAACTGTCCTTGAATGGTCACCATGCATGGCAGCTTTGAACCTCTTTCAGTACCTTTCAGACAAAGCCTTTAGAATCATGGGTTAATTGTGATGGAATTAATCATGGGTTAATTCCGTCTGGATACGGAAACAGACGGATGTCGCTCCCAGTATGACCCTAAAGGCACAGGGACAAAGGCTCCAAGCACGTACATTGTTTTGTTTTGTTAGCAGCTGCTCAGCCAGAGTTAAGAGTCTTGATATGCAGCCACTGATTTGCTTCAAGGAAGGCCATTGGTTCTGCTGAACAAAAGACGCCCAGCGCCACAGAGCTCAGGCTGACTGGACTTGCCTGGTTAATAATAACTTTAAAGTTCCAATGGCTATGGTTGAGGTGATGAAAATTGTAGCGTTTCCGACCTAGCCTGTTGACTAGTTCCTCTAATTTGCTTTCCAAATTTGGAAATGGAGCCTTAGAAACTTTTGCTTGACTTTCCTAAGGGCATGGACCAGTGTCAGGTCTGCAGCCCCTCTGATGGTGTCTGCTCTTCTACCCTGTTGTGCAAGCCACTCACAATTTCATTAGCTTATAGATATGTCCTTTTGGAGAAAGGCATCGTATTGATAATACTATAGGCTGAGCTGTAATGTAAGGGGGAAATGAGGTACCAGCCATCATTAGGATTAGGGTTAGGGTTAGGGTTAGGGTTAGGGTTAGGGTTAGGGTTAGGGTCTGTCAAGGTTGACTCTCTTACCTTGTTTCTAATGTGATTCGTGTGACTTTATCAGCTAGAAAGAAGGGGAACGTACTATCTGTTACTCTTTTCCTCCAACTTGTTACAGTCCTCTGTGACCCAGAAAAGTTGTGTGATTTCACAACTCTTAAGTAGGAGAAGTTTGACAATTTCAAATCAGTTTCCTACTTATTAAGCCAGAGGCCTTTGACTAATCTGTTCTTATGTCTGTATAATAAATATGATATGGAAAAGGAAACTTGAAGGACAGCTGCAATCTATCCATCTTCTGGTATAAACATTGGGGAATTTTTTTCATCAAAGTAAGTTATAATCAGTAAAATGGAACTGTTACAGACACTCAATTACAAATTCTGAAAACTAGTAGGTACTCAAGGATATTTTTTCTGTGTTAGCTGAGTTGCTGGTGCTGTGTTGATGTGTTCAGCTGAATGCAGAAACTTCCTTTTGCATTGCTCAACTATACAGACAACTTGGTATCAACATGAATCCTTGCAAGCTTTAAGAGAAATGACTGTCAGGGTTGGAAAGATGGCTCAGCAGTTAAGAGTACATGGCACTCTTGGAAAAAGAAGGCTTGCATTTGGTTCTCAGCACCAAAGTCAGGTGGCTCTGGACCACCTGTGTAATTCCAGCTCCAGGAGATCCAATGCCAAATTCTTGTCTCTGAGGGCACCTGCACTCATGTGCACATACTCACATGCGGACATACCTGCCTACATGTAACTAAAAAAAAAATAGATGTATACTCATGTTGGTTAAAGTAAGATTAAAATAATTGACTTTGTTTTGACTGGTAACATGAATAATTTTTAAGAGTAAAAAATGTCATTTTTTTTACATCATGTAATACAAACTATTTTACTAATTCTGATTTTCACTCTTTTCACATTCTAAGATCATGGAATTCTGGGTGCATAAACAAATAACATCCTGCGATGATAACACATAACCTTTTTCTTTCTTGAAGGAAATAAAATAATGATATCACTAAAAAGATAGAATATTAGATTTGACAAAGAACTCAATTACAAAAATTCAATAATCCAATTTCCTAACATTTTTCATCATCAATATTGCCTTGGCTAAATCATATGAAAAAACAAAAATGAAATCACAGCAAATGCATGGTACTAGTACATATTTGAAGGAAAAGATGACCTTTATTATAATTTAAAAAATTTGAGAATCCATTTGTGTTGATTCTACCTCTCAGAGAGGTTTGATGACTAGAAAAAAATTTGAACACAGATAGAAGATGATTTTGATTTTCTTTATTTATTTTAACTTTTGCAGACTAGTGATGGTCTCCTCTCTTTCTTCCCCCATTTCTGCATACAAGAAACGGCATGGACCATCATACAACACAACGGCTCAGACTTAACCAGAGTCAGGAACACTCACCCAGAGAACCCGTACACTGGGGTTTTTGAGTATGTGGTTAACATGAAACAACTTCAGGCCACGATTAACCGTGCGGAGCACTGCGAACAGGAGCTTGCTTACTACTGCAAGAAGTCACGGCTTGCTAATCAGCAAGGTAAGCAGACCAGGGTACCTATTGTCCTGGCTAGGATGCATGATGCACTTACTTGACAAGCTCCTAAGGATTTCAGTTCTATGGAGGTGCTGAGTTTCTTCACGCTTAGCAAGCATGTCACAGTCTGGAAGTCTCAGAGATGCTTTTGCCTGGAGAGAAGAACAAGGTCAATTTACATTGAGCTTTGTTCAAAGCCTTGATTGCTTTCTGACTCTCCTCCTGGCCTTAATCGGATAACTTTGCAATAAGGCTTCATTCTGACACTCCGTGAATGAAGGCAAGCTCTAGCCTTATGAAAGGCAAGTGACACATTAGGCTTATTTTATCAGGGACAAGAGCTAATACAAATATGACTTAGTTCTCTCAAAGTGATATGCTGTACAGCTCTTTTTCATGAACTGATGACAGCTAGCCTCTAGGTATGATGGAAGGTTAGGAAAGAGTGCTAGACATAGTGAGTTCAGTAGCTCAAGCAGAAACCAGGAGACTATCTGAAGTCTTTTATTCTTCTAGTAGGAACCAGTCTTCTAAGTTCTGTCTGGGGTTTTAAGTTTCCTCCTTTTAGAACACTTCATGATGTCAGAACATCCTAGGCACCAGGTCTTTTGCCTTAGAAGAACAGGCTTATGATTACCTTATTCTGAAGACAGTAAAGCATGTTCCCACCATCTTGCTCTAAATTGAAATCATCCAATACACACATCACTATGAAAAACCCAGCCTGTGGAAACCTTGCTTCTGTCTTGCTGTAGCAGCTATACTGCTCTTTGCTGCTCCAACACGAACTCTTCTGCTTGGATCCAAGGACCCACCCTGACTATGCAGCTTCATGCCACTCGCTATCACAGTGCTTTATAGTGGTGATATTAGGGCATTTTTTTTTCTTGAGAAATTGGGATTTTAAGACATTCACTCAATAGACACTGTGTTAATGCTTGCTCTTGTTATCCTAATAGAGTTGGTAATTCCATATGGACTGGTGGAATTCTAAAAGGATGCGTTTCACATCAAATGGCATGTGGATCATCCACACAGATGGTGCACTGTGGGCTGACAGGTGACCCCCCATTTCCCATTAAACATCTTTCACGTTTACTCCCTTTTCTACTTAATATCATTTTCTCCACAATACACAAGCGCCTCTCCTTCTTTTCCTCTTTTTCAGAATGCTCTTATTCAGTCATTTTTTTCCTCCAAACCCATCTTATTTCTTCCAACTCAAATCTCATTTCCTGCAAATCAAATTATATCTGTGAGCAAGGACTAGACAGTTGTGTAAAAATCATTAGATTTACATACGAGGAGAGAGCTAACTTCACGTTCCAGGTTTCTCATTGACTAGATACCAAACTGAGATGGATGAAGCTTTGATATATCACTGATAATTTCTTGTCTTTATCTGTTCCTCTCTGAAAAGGTACCAAGAATTCTACCATCACAGGGCTAGAGTAGTGATTGGCTAGCTTTACAGTCTAACATGCATGAAGCACTGTACTGCTGTTGTGGTCATAGTTAAAATATGTAGCTTGGTAACAGCTTGTTCATGTTGTTCAGTGTTCATATCATTTTACTTAGCATAGTGCTCTCTGTTAATCCTTAACACAAAGACGGGATTTCCTTCCTTTTAAACACTGGGTAATACTCACATTCATTGTGTGCATCGCATTTTCTTTATCTGTTCTGCTGTCTGTGGACACGTAGGCTGTTTGAATATCTTGGCTATTGTGAATGATGCTGCACTAATTTTGGGAATCTCTTTGAGACAGTGGGAGACATTATGCTAAGTGAAATAGACCAAACGTAGACTCACAAATACTACATCATCTCACTTGTATATAGAACCTAAAAAAGATGAACCGCAGAAACAGAATTGAGGAGTGGCCACTGGAGAATAAGATGTCAGCCAAAGAATGCAAACTTTGGGCTGGAGAGATGGCTCAGCAGTTATGAGCACTGACTGCTCTTGCAGAGGATGGGGTTTGGTTCCCCACATGCACATGGTGGCTAATAACCATTCATAACTCCAGTTCTAGGGGATATGATGCCCTCTTCTGACCTCCTTAGGCATTGCATGACATACAGTGTACTTACAAGTAGGTAATACACTCATACACATAAAATAAAAATAATAAATAAAATATTTTTAAAAGAATGTAAACTCACAGTTACAAGGTGAATAACTTCTGAACGCCTAAGGTAATGTATAGCTGTGTGGTAAGTACAGTTGACAATAATGTATTATATACTTGAACTTTGTTGGGGAAAAGATCTTTTGAACATACGCGTGCACACACACACACGTACACAGTAACTGTGTGGGTATGTAAAGTGATAGATGTAACAATTACTTGATGGTGCCAATCAATTCACAACATATACCTTCATCAAGACATCATACTCTACACCTTGAATAGGTACACTTTCATTCATTAAGTTCAAGTCAAAAAAGGTGAAAAGGGAAACATAAGGGAAAATGGTCAATAAGAGCTCAAATAAGTCAAATGCCAATAGAATAAAGAAAACACAACCCCCAAGGTGAGAGTAAGCAGACATGACGGGAAATGAAGGGAGTAACGATATGAAGGAAATCCCACCTTCACTGCCTTTGGCACACGCAAAGCCTTCCAGGGTACTCCAACCAGACCTGAGACCAACCCTGGTTGTTTGACCTACTTTTCCTGTTGCTATGATAAGATACCAGACAAAAGAAACTTCAGAAAGAGTTTATTTTGTCTTAGAGTATGAGATTATAGTCCATCACGGTGGAATGTCTTGGTGGCAAGTGCTTAAGGCAGGTGGTCAAATTGTACTCACAGTCAGGAAACAGAGAGAGAGAGAGAGGATGAATGCTTGTGCTCAACTGGTTTTCTCCATTTTATGCAGTCCAAGAGTCAAACCCAGGGAGCGGGACCACCCATATTTAAGGTGGGATTTCCCACCTCAATGAATGGAATCAAGAAAATCCCTTGCAAGCATTCCCAGAGGCAAACCTTAATCAGGATAATCTCCCGGGGGTGTGTCTGGCAGTTTATCTCTGAGGTCATTCCAGATCCTGTGAAGCTCACAAACAATATTAAGCATCAGATAGTAAAGAGAACAGTCAACTCCAGAAGGCTGTGGAACAGTGCGGGGATGGAGTAGGGAGGGATAACGACGGCTGATAATTTTCATTACAGACGTTCTCAAGTCAATGACCCTAGAATCATTTGTGGTAGAGGACCTCATAGAAGGAGAGAATAATTTAGATTCTAAGGTCCCAATAAGAAATACAAGGAGGAAGAGCAGGAAGGTGGTGTTGAATTTAGGGCTTCTTAATGAACAAGCAGCCTCCAGTGACAGAGACACTCTAACTGCATCTGACTTCTGTTATACTTGTTTTCAGCAACTGGGGATTTCTGACTCACCACACTGTGGGTGGTGGTGGTGGTGGTGGTGGTAGGGATACTAGGGTTGATTAAGAGTTTAACCCTGAGAGATAGAATGCTCTAGCCCGACCAACCGGCATGATTCTATTTTAATGTTTTATTCATGATTTTAAAATTTCATTCATATACTTATTTAAATTATTAGTTTAGTTACTCTTTTAAAAATCTGGAATGAACCCAAAGAAATTCAGTGCCTTTAAAACATTCAGCAAGGGTCTGCAAGATAACTCATTGGGTAAAGGTGCTTGCAGGCAAGTCTAGTGACCTGAGTTCAGTCCCTGGGACTCACAGGATGAAAGGAGAGAACTAACTGCCCCCAGGAGTTGTCTGACTTTATACAGGTGCAGCTACACACAAATACACATGCATATGAAATAAATAATATAATAAGAAAAAATAAGAAAAACCCCCAGTGATTTCTATGGTGGAAATAAAAACATAGCTGCAAAATACAATTTAGTATTTAGTAATGATCTATTTTTCTTCAAATATGAAAACATGAAATATTTTAAGCATTATATAGAAATATGCCCAGCAAATGTTTCAGGTAGGCTTAATGTTTTAGTAAGGACCTAATCAGGCAACCCAAAAGAAAGAAGAATCTTGATACTAATAGCATTTTATAACACAAGCGTTTAGTTTTCCTTTTTGAATTTTTTTATCTCTTGCTCTCTAAACACGACTAGCATTTGTAGTAATGTGGGGAGAGAAGGCAGAGGGGCAACCTGAGGTCCCCAGTGGGGCTGATGTTAAAAACATAAAGGTTTGAAAGCCATGGGAAAAATGACCAGTCATTCCTGGGGAGCTGACTGATTTGATGTTACTTACATTCTTCTCTTGCTCTGATTCTCCAAAGACTGTGATTTTCCTTCTGAACTTTTTTTTTTCAAGATAAATGGCCCACATGCCTCACCTCCCTCTCTACAAATCCTCCCCTTAATGTTCTGTCTGCTCTTTGCTTCGCTTCCTTGGCGTCATGTTTAGTCTTGGCTCTGAGAAGGAGCTGGTCGCTGAACATTTATCCTAGAAAGAGATGCATTTAGCTGAGGGAAACTTTTTTTTAGTGTAATATTTGCTTCAGGCATGAAGATCTTTCAGTATTCTTTCTGTACTCTTCAAATAAGTACCCAAGCTGGCAAATACAAGACAAAATACAAAGTTCTAAATAAATCTTAAATCATGACAAAGGAGTGCCAGACTGTGCCTTGTGTCTAATAGACAGCTACTATATTTTTAGCCAATACATATATGGAGATAAATTAGTGTCTTTATATAGCATTCCATAGTGTTTTGATGGGTCTTTCTTAATTCTGATCAGTTCTGTCTCATTATTTTAATTACTGTACTTTATATTTTGATGCCAATTTTTTTCAAGGGCTAGTTTTTAAGAAACTGCATGTAGGAACTTTCTCTGTCTCTTTGTCTCTCTCTCTCTCTCTCAGTCTCTCTGTCTCTGTTCTTTTTGTTCTCTCTCTCACTATTTTCCTTAAATAGGAACTACTAGTTTTTACTCAAAGAATAATATATTAAGAAAGAGGAGCTGGAGGGGTGGTTTAGAGGTTAACAGCATGTACTGCTTTTGCAGAGAGCCCAAATTCAGTTCCCAGTATCCACATCATGCAGCTCACAAGATCAGGACCCTTCAACTCCAGTTTCATGGGATCTGACACCCTCTTCTGACCTCTGTGGGCATGTGCATGTTCATGGCACACAAAACCTCAGGCCAGCATATATGTACACACAATCCATACAAAACACCTTTAAAAAAAGATAGTAAATAATATTTTAAAAGACTTAAAATGGGGGGATGGAGAGATGGTTCAGCCATTAAGAGCACTGGCTGCTCTTTGCAGAGGACCCATGTTCAGTTCCCACCACCTACATGGCAACTAACAACCATTCATCCCAAACCCGAGCTCCAGCGGGTCTGGCACCATCTTCTGACCTCTGCAGGCATTGCACAACATGGGTGCATTTACATACATGTAGTCAAAACACTCATATACATAAAATAAAAATAATACATAAAATATTAAAACAGACTTAAAATGAGTTTTAAAATGGTTTCTTAAATGCCATCGATTAGTGTTTAGAGTATGGTTACAGTGTTATCAGTCTTTCTGGCTCTTTCTCCTTTTATTCATTTTATTGATGTAGGGGAGTGAAATCAGATGTCACATTCCTCTTTTGTCTTTCAGATGGAACTCCTTGGAGCTGGTGGGTTGGGAGGACCAATGAAACACAGACTTATTGGGGAGGGTCTTTGCCCAATCCTCAAAAATGCACATGTGGCTTGGAAGGAAACTGCATTGATGCTCAGTACTACTGCAATTGTGATGCTGACCGGAGCGAATGGTAATTTTTATATAATTTCTTTACTCAAAATAAAAATATGAATAATCAATCATTTTAAGTATGTACAGCTTAGTAGATACTAAACATGTTGCTGAAGGAAAGAAATTAGGTGGAAGTATGTTTTGATGTTCTATTTTACAGTCATCCTAATTTTAAATGTTAATATTGAAACTCTTTGAAGGTTATTTTAAAACTTTATTTATGTATTTTATGAATATGGGCCTTTTGCATGATGTAAGTGCACCTGTACATGCAATGCCTTCAGAGGCCAGAAGAAGGCATCCGATCCCTTGGAACTGGAGTTACAGATGGGTGTTAGCTAACATGTGGGTGCTAGGAATAAAATCCAGATTGTGTGTAAGACCAGCCAGTGCTTTAAACCACGGAGCCATCTCTCCAGACCCAAGAGGTTAGTTTTAATATATATCATGTTCATTTTGTTTTTATAATACAGGAAAATAGAGGCGTAAATTACATGGGAATCGGCTATAATTCTCTTGAGTTCATTTCTACTTTTAGGACCAGTGGGCTTTCTTTTATTTCCAAAGTACATATTCAGCCAATTACCAAAGCATATCTCATCAATATTGCCTGTAAAACTTTACACATAAATACTTATACTTCAAAGCCATTATTTTAACATGTAGTTCTATTATTTATATTTTAAGAATAAAACATGCCAGAAAATAAATGCTCTATAGATAATATTTTGGAAATGGAAATCTATAACATTTAGGGATTTGAAAACTTGAAATATTTTTTTCTGTTTTTGGTCTTTTTGAGACAGGGTCTCCCTGTAGCCCCAGCTGGCCTAGAACTCACTATGTAGACCAGGCAGGCCTTGAACTCACAGAGATCTGCCTGCTTCTGCCTCCTGAGTGCTGGGACTACAGGCATGTGCCACCATGCCCTATTAAAACTTAAAATATTTTCTCTAAGCTGGAAAGAAATGCTCGGCACATGTTCTCCATTATCTGGAATTTTTTTCTATGAGTTTTATTTTTTGCCTTTGAGTATAAACTAAACATGCGTGCTGCTCTTATTCATTATTTGTAACAATATAAACAATTGGTAAAATGTTTACATTCATATTCCTTCATACCACATGTCTGTTTTCTATTATTAAGCAGTTGGAGCTGATAGATTTATTTATTATTAAAAGATTCATTCTTTGAGAATTTGTGTGTGTGTATACAATGCAATATATTCATATCCAACCCCAAATTTCCACCTCCAACTCCCCCTTATTCCCCCAAATATTCCCCTCAACTTCATGTTCTCTTTAAAAAAATAATAATGCATTAATTTCAGTCAGTGATATCCGTATGTCCAAGGGCATGGGGCTATCTCCATGAACGTGGACAGTCTACCAGTAGCCAAATCCCCGAAGGAGAATGGTTCTCTCCTGAAGCAGTTATTAACTTCCAACATCTTCTCAGTTAGTGGAGCCTCCTGAGCCCCTCCTCCATGTGAGCCCCTCCCCGACCCCTGCTGGAGTGTTGACTGGCTTGACCTCAATGCCAGTCTTCTGCGGGCAACAGCAGCCGCTGTTATTCCAGATGAAGGCAATTGCCTGTCACGTGCAGAAGACGGCATCTCAGGACACTCCTGCTTCTCCACCCTCCAACTTCTCTGTTCTGTCTGCTTCCTCTTTTGCAATTCTCTGAGCCTTGTTGGAGAGGGCTAAGTGCTCAGGAATACTTATTCTCAGCACTTTGAAGCATTAATAATCTGGGCATAAGAATATGAATTATTTGATTATAAAATATACATGCATTACAGTTAGCAATTGCCATTATGTGAACTCACAATTTGTATTATGTGATATGTTACTTGTTTGCTTTGCAAACCTCATGATCATGATACTAAAGTACACGTGGATGTGGGTGTGTCTGTATGTACATGTGTGCATAAAAACTCACATACATTCACACATATGACTCTTAGATTAACACAGAAGAAGAGCCTATACAGAATAGTAGATGATTGATTTCTTGTGTTGTTTGGTATGAAGAACATTTTCTCTACTACACACACTCTACTTAAAAACTTTACTCCCTTTGGAAAGCAACTTTTTTTCTTAAAACGTTCATAAAAATTTGCTCATATAATGAAAACTTGTACTGTATTTTTAATGTGTAAAAATATTAATAGCAGCCGGGTGTGGTGGCAATACCTGCACTTGGGAGGCAGAGGCAGGCGGCTCTTTGTGAGTTCAAGGCCAGCCTGGTCTACATAGTGAGTTCCAGGACAGCTTGGACTTACAGGGAGACCCTGTCTCAAAAAGACAAAAAAGAAAATTTAAAACAAAAAAACCCCTCAACTTTTAGCAAGGACCTACCATATGCCAGGCCCCAATGCCAGCATTAAGACACAAAGATGAAAGACATAATCTAGGAACTGGGTATATGACTCAGTTAAAGTGCTTGTTTATCATGTACAAAGTCCTGGGTTCCATCCCCAGAACAGGAGGATCAGAAGTTCAAGGTCATTCTTAGCTATATAGAGTTCAAGGCCAGACTGGGTTACATGAGACCCCTTCTAGAAAGAGAAAAAGAAAGAAAAAAGACAGAATCCCTAAACTGCATAGTCATGAGGGAAGCCAGTTAGCCAACACACAACAGTACAGTAGGGGTCTACATAGTGAGTTCCAGGACAGCTTGGGCTACAGGGAGACCCTTTCTCACACACACACACACACACACACACACACACACACACACATATATATATGTCTAGCAACAACAAAGAATTAACCTAATCACCACCATAACACTTTGCTAATTAAAACTAGTTTTAAAAATAGTTTAAAATTTCTCATATTATATTCTGCTTATGGCTAGAGTAGACTGCATATAACTAACTTTTCTCAGATACTGTTTTAGTACAAATTCAGGAAAATATTAGAAAATAAGTGTTTGTGGCTGGTGAGATGGCTCAGCAGTTAAGGGCATTTGTTGCCAAGCCTGAGGACCTGAGTTCAATCCCAGAATCCACGTGCTGGAAGGCAAGAACCAACTCCTGCAAGTTGTCCAATGACCTCCATACACAGGCTATGGCATGCACACTCCCAAGTTTAAATATAAATGTAATTAATAAATAAATGCAATAAAATTATTTAAAGGAAGTAAAAGGGTGATCGAACATAGACAGGGGCTTCTAGGGTTGTTTGAAAGCAGAGAATCCAAGTGGGTAAGATTTAGATTTAAATACCCTTTCCTTTGGGGATACTAGCTATGTGGTGCCATGGGGAGCCCAAGCTTCAAGGAAACACTATATTATATTTATCTTTGGCTTAAGGTATCAGATTTTGGGGATTTTGGAATGATTGGATATTGACAGGCTATTTCCCAGAGAAGAGAAAGCCAGTTTGGATGAAACTGCTGCATAAGGCCCACATGCCCCTCACCTGCCTCTCCAGTGGTGGATGCATAGGGAAGATGTTTTACGACCAAGCAGCCGACTACAGCCAGAAAATGTAAACAGTTCACAGAGATTCCCATGGTGACTACCAGAGGAGAAAAGGCTGGCCTGTTTTGGTCTCTGAAACAGGCTTGGAAAATTCTTCAGCTTTGGGTAGAATTAACAAAATGTCGATGGATTTGCAGAAAAGACCATATCCTAGAACTGAAAGAGAAGCCTGAAAACTAAGAGCAGAGCAGACAGAGAGATCTCTAGGAGTACACCACGATAGGTTGTGTCTTGAGTATCCATGAAAACATAAATAAAATACTCCAGAAGAAAAACAAGGTCTTTGCAAAGTATTATGCACATTTTCCAGAACACTGTAATATCTTAGGAAGATATTAAAGAAGTTTTTGTAAACAAACCCTCAAGCATTGATTTTTAAATTATCAGGCAAAACTTTAAAGCTCCAGGCATGGCAATGCGCACCTTTAGTCCCGGCACTCAGGAGGCAGAGGCAGGCAAATCTTTGAGTTTGAGGTCAGCCTGGTCTACTAGGGAGTTCCAGGGCAGCAGGAGCCACAGGGAGACCCTGTCTCAAAAAATCCAAACCAAACCAAAACAGAACTTTAAAGCATCCACTATAAACATGTTTGTAGACCTAAATATAAAAACAGTTATAATCAATGAATAGGAATCTTACACAAGTATGTAGGAACTGCGTTAGAGGCAAAAGTGCCGACTTCTGAATGGCATTTCAATAGCAAGTATAACCTGAAATGGAAAAAAATTGTAACAAAGTCTTCTTTGGATTAAAAAGAAATCACATCAGATGAACACTCAGGTCTTGAGGAAGAAACAAAGAGCACTGGGAATTGTAAATTAACCCGTGTTCCTTAAATACAATGTTAAAAGTCATTGTTTAATTACACTGAAGCATTTATAATGCATTCATTTCAAGTACATCACAGCCACTGGAGAGAGGACTGCACAGTGATTAAGACACGCACTGTGCTTGCAGAGGACCCAAGTTCAGCTCCCTTTACTCACGTCAGGTGACTCATAACTGTCTGTAAATCCAGCTCCAGGGGATCCAACACCTTCTTCTGATCTCCATGAGCAATGAACTCCCATGCACAGACCCACACACATGCACACATATACGCATAATCAAAAGTAAATATTTTTAAAGTTAAAAAGGAAAACTAAGGGCAAAACCACGAAAGTACAAAGAAGTATGTGAACCTGTGTGTGTATGTGCATGTACATGTATGTATGTATGTGCATGTGTGTGCATGTGTGTATGCGTGTGTATGTGTGCATGTGTGGGCTAGTGGACTGGGAGATGGCATCCACTCTGAAAGCCACTACATTCTAATGTAAATACAGGTTATAGTTTATGTGCTACACTTAAATGTCTATAGAGGTAGTAAAAGCTTGCTGTATTTTAAGTACTAAGATGACCAATTGGACATTTTCAAGCACCCAAATATAACTGTAACTGTGTTTGATTTGAAATGCAAGGATAACTATTGTTTATTTTAGAATCATGCTTATCATTATAGTTTAAAGAATTGGTTGCTGCTTCTGTTTTCTAGGACCAATGACACTGGATTCCTGTCTTATAAAGAACATCTGCCAGTCACTAAGATAGTGATTACAGACACAGGCCGGCCCCATTCAGAAGCTGCTTATAAACTGGGGCCCCTGCTCTGCCGGGGAGACAGTAAGTGGTCCCATCGTGCTGTGAATTTATATGAGCAGAGTCTTGTCACTTAAGCTTTACATGTCTATCACATGGTAACTGAATCAGAATTCTGTCATTAAAACTCACAAGAGAGAAATATTCTTCAAAACATTTTTATTATATTGATTGTATGCCTCTGTGTGTGTGTGTGTGTGTGTGTGTGTGTGTGTGTGTGTGTGGTGTACCTCAGTGGACAACTTGAAGGGCTGGTTCCCTCCTTTCAACCATGTGGATCCCAGGAACTGAACTTAGGTCACCATGTTTGGTGACAGATGCCTTTATCAACTCCGAGCATTCTGCCAGGCTGAGAAATATTCTTTTATTTATTCAAGAAAGCAGTGCCCCTATAAAATGCAATACTTATGGCAAATTTGGTGATGGCCAACTCTGGTAGACCTTAAGGTAAAGAAACCATTGGCTGTTTAGCTTGGTTGCTTTGGAAATGCATCCCATGTTCCTAAATTTCTCCATATCTTTATCTACTTAGAAAGAATCAGTGTTATACAAAATGGTAAAAAATCCATATGAACTTCCTACTGGTAAGCCTGAGGTAAAATCACATCAATAGAAGCTGATGTCAGTTCGAGCAAACATATTTCAACTTTTAATCTCTGTTCTTTTTCATTTTTTATGTATGTGAATTGACTTTAAACCAATAGGAACTGCTATTTTGTATATTCAATGTATTAGCATCCTAAAGTAGAGTTTTAATAGTCAAACATAGTCCATAGTACACAAATACACACACTACATTTTTTTTCAACAGGTAATGATCACAGATTCTTAAACGCTCTGAAATCAGCTAGCTTGGAAGTAGATGCATTGATTATACATGCTTTCAGTATTTCCAGAACTTAAAGTAGAAATGGAAAGAAATATTTGTTTGCATTAAAAGCACATCCTAAAATAAAATTTTACTGTAGGAGCCCAACAGAAGAAGAGAAGATATGACATTCAGTAGTAGAGGGTGATAGTTAACAGAAGCTGCTTAGTTAAAAAGCAAAGATGGAACTGGCCTATAAAAATTATATACGCATTACATAAAACTGCACCATTCTGCACACCATCTCCGATGTGTATCAGCCCTACTTCCTGCCCTACCACAGTCTCACAATCACATGAAGGTGACATAAGGATATTTCCTGGAGGGAAAACTTATGAGCAGAGAGATGAGGTTGTAAACTCAGAATGCATCCAGGGGAGTGCAACAAATTTTCGTGGTTACAGCCAAGTGCTTCTGCACATCACGTGGTCCTCTGCTGCATGCTGGGCTCATAACACTGCAGTCATCAGACAGGATTTTCTCCCCTCCCCCTTAGTCCCTCCACCACAATCTCTGGGAATCAGGTATGCTGTGATTGCAGGCACTACTAGTTCTGTCCCTTTGAATTTAATTTAATTTTCTCTTAGAGGTAGAACCTTTAAAAATACTTTATTTATTAGGATTAAGTTATTTCTGAGACTTTCATACATGACTATTGCACTTGCATTATTTCCATCCCTCCCCCATTTTATTTATTTTTTATGTGTATGAGCGCTTTGCCTGCATGGATGTAAGTGCACCACATGTATGCAATGCCTGCAAAGGCCAGAGGAGGGAGTCTGATTCACCCTCCCCACCCCCGAAAATTCCAAACTTCCGGCTGAGTACTTGAGCATACACAACTGCCCCCTCTCCAACATGGTATTTAATGATGTCTGATAGTTTGGTTGTCATAGATATAAGATATGAGCTGTGAGTCTCATCTAGGGGGAAGGATCAGGGATGTTTTTACATATGACAGTGCATGAGACAGCCCTGTGCAAGAAAGTCATATGGTCTAAGTGTCTGCCTTGGTAAGGTAGGGAAACTAGATTATTAAACAGTGTGATTAATGGGGTACAGAATAAAGTGACCCTGGAGACACAAATGTAGACATTGTTTGAATTATGTGCAGTCTGTTAAGCTTTGACTCAATTGTTCTAGCTTGTTTACTGTTGCTGTGATAAACATCAAGACCAAAAGCAATCCAGGGAAGAAAGGGTTTATTTGGCTTATGGGGGACAGTCCATCATCAAGGGAAACCAAGACAGGAACCTAGAGGCAGACACTAAACAAAGACCATAGAGGGACGCTGCCTACTGGCTTGCTGCTCCTCTGGCTCATGTTCAGTGACCTCTTTAAAAAATTCTTTTATTTATTTATTTTATGTGTATGAGTGGCATACATGTACACTGCATGTATGCCAGTGTACCCATGTTGTGCAGTGCCCCAGGAGGTCAGAAGATGGTGTCAGATACTCTGGAACTGGAGTTATAGACATTCCTTAGCCTCCATGTGGGTGCTGGGAACCAAACCCAGGGCCTCTGCAAGAGCAACCAATGGTCTTAATTCCAGATCCATCTCTCCAGCCTCCAGCTACTTTTCTTATACAGCCCAAGCCCACCTGCCTACAGATGGTAAGGCCCACAGTGGATGGGACCCACATCAGTTAGTAATTAAGAAAATGCCCCCACAGACATGTTTAAACAGATGGAGGAAATTCCATAACTGTCAGTCGCTCTTCCCAGGGGTGTCAAGTTAACAATCAAGATTTCCATCACATGAATGAAGTAGTTACTGAACAACTGAACTGACCTTCTCACCTTCTAGGGAGATTTGTCTTTTCTCAGGATTTCCAAGGTTACAGCCCTTGGTCACTTGGCTCCTTTGTTTCTGTGGCTATAGTGAGGGAGAACAGCATTTCAGAAAGGCGTGGTGAAGCAAAGTTCCTGACCTTATAATATCAGGAAGGGGGAGTTTGGGGAGGGGAGGGGGGAAGAAAGGGAGAGAGAGAGGGAGAGAGAGAGAGAGAGAGAGAGAGAGAGAGAGAGAGAGAGAGAGAGAGATTGGAGAATCTACTTCCTACAACTAGGCCCTATTAGTTTTCAAATCTCCCAATAACACCATCAAATTATGAATCCACCAATGGATTAAATCATTGATTAAGTCAGAACCCTTATACTCGACCTACCAGCTAAAGACCAGCTCTCTAACACACAGGCCTGATCTTGGAAGGCTTTTCATATGTGAACCATAACACGTCCCAAGGACTCTTTTCCATGAGAAAGTTGTAAAGTTTTCTGTCAGAAGAGCAATGCTTTCAGAACCCTTTTCAGCATATGGGAATCTGCACTTTTAAAGAAGTCCCAGGCAAGTTAATTTTCCTTCAAGTGAGGTCTACTGGGCAGACATGGGGTATACCGACGTAAGTTTGTACACAGGGGAGAGGTGCACAAAGAATTTACTCTGACCTTATCAGGGCTGGACTTTGAATAACTTAAGTTTAAACAATATTTATATTCTTATGATTCAATTTGGAAGCATACCCTGAGTTACGAACCTAAAGACCAATGAGGTGGCCTTTGATGTGAAGCTTGAAGAAGAGGTGAGTCAGTAAGGGAAGTAAATTCGATACAATCTAGATGGAAGCTGAGAATTTTCTTTGAACAGAAAAATACAGGAGTGTAAACAAAAGAAAATATATCTAATTTTTTTTTCTCAGAAATCTCTCTAGAATTCCAACTTGAGATGCTGGGAATTTTATCTCTAGCCATATTTCTTTGGGAGAGGACAAACACCTTGAGAAAAAAATACAAATAAATAATAATGAACACAAAATGTATCAGTAACAGACTAAGCCTAATTACTTGATGCCTAATTAATCGATGCCTAATTAATTGATGCTCTTTTCCTCAAATCTATTTTTAACATAGATGGATCTGAAATTCAAGCCCCTGCCAATATTATTATTATTAAT